GTGAGTAGTCAACAGCATAGGGCGATATCCATGGAAATTCCCAAGCTAATATGATGTTCGTTCTCCAGCTTTTTGTTTTCCAAACGTCTTCTGATTTTCTGATTTTCATAATAACCTTGATTTTTTGTGATGAGTCAGTTAAGCATGTCTCTTTACACTCCGAAATTGATGAAAACAGTTTATATAGGATGTAAGAAGATAAGGAAGTTGGAGAAATACTTCAACTTATACTGGAACTCCGAGCATCTTCTCGTTTCTTCTGTTCCTGGGTGACAGATATTCACATGGTTGTACATATCGAAGTTTTCAGGTTAAAGTACGTTGATACCAGAATATTAAAAATAGTTTATTCGTTGAGAAATTAAGTGAAATTTCTGTTTTTTTGAGTCTTATATTTCTGATGCGTTTTACGTTCGGACTCGTACTATGTACGGTGCGCATTGGAGCTCGGCAGTGTTTTGTTGCACCAAAAGTGCACGGAACTTAAATTATGTACGGTGCACGTATTAGTCAGGTTTCAGCAAATCAGTTAGTTTCTGCAGTCCAGGGGATTGTCTTGGGGGAGTGTGAGTAATGTCTTCGAGGGTTGGCTTAACCTCCAGAGTGGTATTTGGTTGATGGGAGATCAACAATTACTCAACTCGAACTGTTGAAAGGCCTAGTCCTGAGGTTCACTAATTTTGGATGGGTGGCAACACCTGAGAGGTTTACCTCTCGAACAAATTGAAAATATTTAAGAAAAGTAAAATTTTGGTTGTGTTAAATTAAAATTACAAAGTTTTCAATGCGTTTAACTGTATTTTCCATTTTCCATCTGTATCTTCTACGCTCCATAGTAGAACCTGAAAATAAAAATTTGTGAATTAACAAAAAAAAACGGAAAAAATAGAAAAAAAAAGAAATGAAAGTAAATGAATAGTTTTACGTGAGAGGGGGACGTTTGTGGACCTATACTCACGCCATGTGCTGAGTATAAGCCCGTTCTGAGCTTACTCACGGAGGCGTTGCCACCTAATGATTTCAGGCAAAGAAAATCATTAGGATAACTTTCTTTACCGCATTTTCTGGGAAAATCACCAAAATGGTCTATTTGATCAGCGCGCGCGTTATTGATTTTCATTTTCTTCTATCATCAGGGGGCTCAGGCTTAGGCTTCTCAGGCGTCGAAATTGAAAGAAATATGTTTTTTTAACGGTTTTCCCTTCTCACTCACGTGAAAACGTGTTATTAGAATTCCGCGATTTCGAAAAATTAGCATATCTGCACGCGTCTTTTCGAATTCTAAAGTAGGGGTGGCAACTTATGCAGTAGCGCCATTTGATCTTCTGTTTTTGTTTTTTTTGTAAATCTGTTTTTGTATTTTCTTTTTTGATTTTTTTTCATTTTAGTAACCCTGTACAACGTTCTGGATTCGTCTATGACTGTCGAAGTCTTCTTTTCTAATTATTTGAACGAGCAACTAGGTGTCGGTTCAGACCGAGAACCGACATGGAAAGAGGGAACCATCGCGGTGAAACGTGGTATGTCTATTCTTAACTTCACAGATGTACATTGTTTGATTCAGTCACCTTTTTCATCGGAAACGCATCTCTATTGAGAAAGAGCAGCTCGTACGCTGTGCTCGGTTGCGATATGTGTAGAATGCAATCCGGAAACTATTTATAATACTTATCATTCGATTTTAAAAAAATTAAATTAATTTTCTCTTCCTTATTAATCGTAGTGTCAGTGTCTGTCAACGTTGATTTGTTCTCATAAATCTGTTTAAAAAAGACTATTTCCTAAATCTCGGATTGTGAAATTCGAAAAAGTTTTTAAATTTATTGTAGCGTCAAGCATATTCTGCTTCGATTCTTTACGAATCTCTTAACAGAACTATAGAGGTACGGTCTGCTTCTTAGCTTCTTTTTTGAAATGATTGGCGGTGCTGAGACCACCCATACTTCCTCCCTTTTTATCGATTTTTCATCTGCCCTCCTACTTTAATCCACTTACAGGTTATCGATTGATTACTTGTCTGAGTTCTTATGTAATTGATTCTACTCTGTAATTTGGCAAACCCTTTGCTCCAACAGTTTCCAACTCTTCTTTATTTCTCTTCTTTTCTTTTTTTTTGTTGTTCCATTTCCGTCCATTCCTTCTCTCTCTCGAGCCATCCGTACCAAAATCATCCAAAGGATGATCGAAGGTGTCAGAGACATTACCTCTATTCTTACCATTTTCTTTTTCTTTTAATTTTGAATGGTTCCGAGATTCACTTTTTTCAGATTAATCTTTCCCCAACTTCGAATCTTGTTGGAGTTTGATAGCTTTGTGGCATTGTAACTTTACATTAGATTTCA